TCCGCAAAACGCAGTGCGATGTGCAGAATCAGATCGCATGGGTGTGAATACCCATGCAATCTGATTCTAGTGCAGACCAAAAAAAGGGTCCTGCACCTTTTTGGTGTGGATGCGGTGCGATCTGAGCCATACAAAATGTATGGCTCCAATCGCACAGCACACAATTCGCATTTGATTTGCACAGAAATGCGGTGCGGTTCCTGTGCGAATCATATGCGATACACCGCACTGCACAAGTGTGAACCCATCATTAATGTGACTTATGAACTGTACAACTCAGTTGAACAACAAACTGAAATATTTTAGGTGGAGGGAAGTAAAAATAAAAAACTAAAATAATATGGTTGCATAAGTGTACACACCCTTAAACTAATACTTTGTTGAAGCACCTTTTGATTTGATTCCAGCATTCAGCCTTTTTGGGTATGAATCTATCAGCATGGCACATCTTGATTTGGCAATATTTGCCCACTCTTCCTTGCAAAAACACTCCAAATCTGTCAGATTGAAAGGGCATCTCCTGTGCACACCCCTCTTCAGATCACCCCACAGATTTTCATATGCTTTGGGTCGTTGTCATGCTGAAACATTAAGTTCCTCTTCATGTTCAGCTTTCTGGCAGAAGCCTGAAGGTTTCGTGCCAATATTTACTGGTATTTGGAACTGTTCATAATTCATCCTACCTTGACTAAGGCCCCAGTTCCAGCTGAAGAAAAACGGCCCCAAAGCATGATGCTGCAACCACCATGCTTCATTATCTTTTGATAATGTGCAGTGTTGTTTTTTGCGCTAAGCATATCTTTTGGAATTATGGCCAAAAGGTTCAACCTTGGTTTCATCAGACCATAACACATTTTCCCACATGCTTTTGGGAAACATCAGATGTGATTTTGCAAAATTTAGCTGGGCTTGGATGTTTTTCATCAATTTTGAAGGGCCGTCCAGTTCTTGGTAATGTCACCGTTGCGCCATATTTTATCCACTTGATGACTGTCTTCACTGTGTTCCAGAGTTTATCTAATGCTTTGGAAATTCTTTTGTACCCTTCTCCTGAATGATACCTTTTAACAATGAGATCCCTCTGATGCTTTGGAAGCTCTCTGCGGACCACGGCTTTTGTTGTAGGATGTGACTAAAATGTCAGGAAAGACCTACTAGAACAGCTGAAATTTTTTTGGGGTTAATCAGAGGCACTTTAAAATGATGGCAGGTGTGTACTGACTCCTATTTAACATGATTTTGAATAAGATTGCTTAATTCTGAACACAGCTACATCCCCTGTTATAAGAGGGTGTGCACACTTATGCAACCACATTATTTTAGTTTTGTATGTTTACTTCCCCCTAAAACATTTCAGTTGTACAGTTTATAGGTCACATTAAAGGTGCAAAAAAGTATGAAATTATTTATCTTTGTCATTATCTCTCTTATATATCCACTGTGTTTATATATATATATTTGCATTTTATTTTACTTCCCAGAAAGTGCAGCAACCATGAATAAGCCATAAGCAACAAAATATATGGTCTAGTTACAGCCACATTCCTCTAGGCACACTGGCATGAAGGTACTTGTGTGGTAGGTTGTTCTGAACATCCTAGAGAACCACTTTTTCCAAGAAAGATGCTTCCTTCCTACCTCTGCAAGAATTCCAGAATAGATCAATGATATGGAGACAAGAGCTATGTGGTGGCATACCGACTGTTGTATAACTGCTTGTTCCTATTTACATTACAGATAGTTTTAAATGATTTAGGTAATTTGTTTTTACCATGCTGTAGAATGAGGTTGGAACTAATCAGATGACTCCCTAGCAGCGAGGGTGCCATCAATTCACCAACTCTGTTTGAAGAAATGCAGCCCCAAACATGCAGATAATCTCCACAATGCTTTACTGTTGCCTGCAAACATTTCTCCGTGAATAGTTCTCCCTTCTTTTGCAGAAAAATGGCTTTCTATTAGGGCAAAACATTAAAAATTTGGACTCCTCAGGCCAGAACACCTGCTGCAATTTTTATGTCATCATGTGTTGTTTTCTTTTGCTTAGGTGAGTTGGCTTTGTGTCTAAGTCGGAAGAAGAATTAGTTTTTGATCAGTTTTGACAGTTCTGAGCAGATAGTGGTGCTGGACATCTTGTTTCGATAGGATGTACAGTCATGTCTTTTGCCTGCTGCATTCAAATTGCTAGGACTATGACTGAGCACTTAAATGCACATCTGGAGACACCATGTGAAATTTCTGCTTGTGAGAGGGCACGTTGATATAGAATGAATAATTTGCTTTTTATTGTTCTGCCTACAAATAGTTAACAATTTTTGACAGGAAGGTGGTCTTTAAGAGCATTAAGGGCTCGTTCACACTTTACTGTTTTACCAACGCTTGGCAAACGCCCTATAGCGTTTGGCAAGCGTTGGTCTGGCATTTGCGGAGCGTTTTTTAACCTCCGCAAAAGCCGCATGCATGGTTTAGCGGCGGTTGTGAAGCGCTAAAAACGCCCCACAAACGCCTATAATGAAGTTTAAATGGTGTTACCGGTCCGCAAACGCCCCGCAACCGCGCTGCTAATGCCGGCCGGGCGTTTGCGGAGTGGCACCATAGACTAGAATAGGAGGCTTCAACGCCTCCTGACTTGACCAGAGACGTCCGTTTTGCCGCGACGCTACCGCTCCCGTTAGAACAGCACCATGTGCTGCAAAGTGCAGAATTGTCCGAGGCGTTTGGGAAGCAGTAAAAACGCTTCCCAAACGCCTCTCTGCCGCTTGCACACAACGCTCATGTGAACGTAGCCTTACTTCATAGAACTCATGGAATGACAGGATAAGCCAAATATGTTTTAAACTATTTAACTGCTTCCCGACCACCCTATAGCAGACATACTACTAGAGAGTGCGCAAAATCAGGTATATTTTTTCCGGGTAGGGGATGCACGCGTGCCCCTACCCGAGCCACCAATCGCAGCTGTCAATCACCTGGTCCCGCTGGGTGATTGCCGAGCATCTCCGACAAGGAGGATAACTGTATGTAAACAATACAATTCTCCTCCCTGTCAGTGCATGCACACTGCTCTGGACGGCTGTGCATAGTACAGCCATCCAAAGCAGTGTGATTACAGTGAAGCACACACACAGAGCTTACAGTGAAACAGCACACAGTTCACCCTTTGATCGTCCAGATGTTAACCGCTTCCTGCCCAGTGTCATTAGTACAGTGTCAGTGCTATTTTTTTGGCACTGTTCACACTATTGGTGTCACTGGGGATGTCTGTGACACCAAGTCAGTTCCTCCCAGTGTCAGAATGCCTGCTATAAGTCGCTGATCGCCGCCATTACTAGTAAAAATAAAAAAAAATTCCAGTACCTATACCGCCATTTGCAAACACTAAAACGTTCAAGTAAACCAATTAATTTACACGTATTGGGATTTTTTTTAGCAAAGACATGTCGCAGAATATATTTTGGCCTAAATTTGTCGAAATTAGATTTTTTTTTTACTGAAAAAATCTTTTTTTTTTTCTTTATAGCACAAATATAAAAAATGTACAGGCGATCAGATACAACCAAAAGAAAGTTCATATTCGTGGGAAAAAAGGTAATAAATTTCATATGGGTGCAGCGTTACATGACCGCGCAATTGTCAGTTGAAATAACGCAGCACTGCAAAAATGAAAAAAATAGCCTGTTCAGGAAGGGGGGTAAATCCTCAGGAGGGCAAGTGGTTAAAGTGGCTATGACTTTATCATATATAAACTATATTGCCAAAGTATTGGGACACCCCTACAAATTATGGGATTCAGGTGTTCCAATCACCTCCATGGCCACAGGTGTACAAAATCAAGCACCTAGGCATGCACACTGCTTCTACAAATATTTGTGAAAGAATGGGTCTCGCTCAGGAGCTCAAGCGTGGTACCGTGATTGGTTGCCACCTGTACAAAAAGTCCATCCGTGACTTAAACATTCCAGAGTCAACTGTTAGTGGTATTATAACAAAGTGGAAGCAACTGGGAACAACAGCAACACAGCCACGAAGTGGTAGGCCATGTAAAATGACAGAGCGGGGTCATCGCATGTTGAAGCGCACAGTGCACAGAAGTCGCCAACTGTCTGCAGAGTCAATAGCTAAAGACCTCCAAACTATGTGTGGCCTTCAGATTAGCACAACAACAGTGCGTAGAGAGCTTCATGGAATGGGTTTACATGGCCAAGTAGCTGCACCCAAGCCTTACATCACCAAGTGCAATGCAAAGCGTTGGATGCAGTGGTGTAAAGCACGCTGCCACTGGACTCTACAGCAGTGGGAACATGTTCTCTGGTGTGACAAATCACACTTCTCTGTCTGACAATCTGATGGACATGTCTGGGTTTGGCGGTTGCCAGGGGAACGATACTTGCCTGACTGCATCGTGCCAAGTGTAAAGTTTGTTGGAGTGGGGATTATGGTGTGAGGTTGTTTTTCAGGGGTTGGGCTTGGCCCCTTAATTCCGGTGAAGGGAGCTCTTAAGGCTTCAGCATACTAAGACATTTTGGACAAATTCATGCTCCCAATTTTGTGGGAACAGTTTGGGGATGGCCCCTTCCTGATCCAACATGACTGCGCACCAGTGTACAAAGCAAGGTCCATAAAGACATGGATGAGCGAGTTTGGGGTGGAGGAACTTGACTGGCCTGCACAGAGTCCTGACCTCAACTCAATAGAACACCTTTGGGATGAATTAGAGCAGATACTGCACGCCAGGCCTCTCGTCCGACATCAGTGCCTGACCTCACTAATGCGCTTATGGAAGAATGGTCAAACACTACCATAGACACACTCCTAAACCTTGTGGACAGCCTTCCGAGAAGAGATGAAGCTGTTATAGCTGAAAAGGGTGGGCAAACTCAATATTGAACCCTACGGACTAAAGCTGCCATTAAAGTTCATGTGCGTGTACACGCAAGCATCCCAATACTTTTGGCAATATACTTTGCGGAATATTTAACTGATTATGATGCAGGACTTACCTGAGGATATCATCTGTAACTCTAAAAATAGATGGGTGACAAGCAGCTCGTAACTATGGAAAAAAACAAAAAAACAAAATTAACAACCAAGCACAAAAGATATTAATATATACATGCAAGCCCAATTATTATTATACAGGATTTATATAGTGCCAACAGTTTGCGCAGCGCTTTACAAAATGAAGGTAGACAATACAGTTACAATACAATTTGGTACAAGAGGAAACAGACGGTCCTGCTCGTTAGAACTTACAATCTAGCCCAATGCAGATGTATTTGTTTATTTCATAATGTCATGTATTTTATGTTTATGCTTAAACTGTAGGTACACCAGCACTGAGAGAAACATTTGGGGGCATATTTATAAAGTGGTAAATGTGACTTTCACTAAACATTCACTTGTGGTGAATCAATAACTACAATTTAAACACATGAACCAGGGAGAATTACATGTAGTGAATGTTTGGTAAATGTCAGATTCACTGCTTTATAAATATACCTCCTAGACTGCCACTGTTGACCTCCTGCTAAAAATGTTAGTTAGCTGGCTTCAATACATCAAGTGATACTTTGGGAGGGAAAATTACCCTAAAACAACTAGCTTTATCAAACTTAGTGTACTAATAATATACCGTTCATGCAAATAATTTAAAATGAGATACCATGCAAGTCAAGCTTAGTTAATGTACTAGGATTTTAACTGATTTCTAAATGCAGTTGAAGGTATCCTGCTTATTTCTGTCATACTGTATTTCCCTGTTAGGGTACTTGGAAGTATTCTCAGCAGTGAAAATATCATTGTAATAAGTAACATTTCAGTCAGACTTATAGTCTACTGCATTTAAGGAGATCTTCTGATACCCATTCCAAAGACAAATACAATGTCCTCTTGCTGAAAACAGGATGCAGCTCACATGACTCCTCAAGACTACAGAAAAAGGAGATTTTTTTAAACAGGCTACTTCTCCAGAAGTGAAAGACATCCTATCTGTCCAATGCCATGAAAAATGCATCAATGTCACTATTGACAGAATCTGAGGACATCAAACTCTGCAATAGATTTTTTCTGTTCTTTTTTTGGATGTGTTAAATTGACCTTAAGGCAATGTAAAAAAAACAGATTTCAGTTAAGCAACAAAAACATTACCCACATACATTTTTATCTCTAAACCAGGCACAAAAAAAAAAAGCACAACTTATCAGATATGGGGGGCCCTCCTGACAAGGCACCTTGTCCATATGTTGATGGCAACAAGGGTTTCATCCCCACATCCCTGCGCAGTGGATGTGGGGTCTGCAGGGGATGACTTACAGAAATTTGGAAGCCCCTATGGAAATGAATAAGGGGTACATAGTGTCCCTTGTTACTCATTCACAAAAAATGACAAAGTGCATAAATATACACACACATACTATGACATGGGGGGTGATTTACTTAAACTGAAGTGTGCAAAATCTGGTACAGCTGTGCATGGTAGCCAATCAGCTTCTAACTTCAGCTTGCTAGAATTAAGCTTTGACAAAAAAAAAACAAAAACAAACCTGGAAGATGATTGGTTTCTGTACAGAGCTGCACCAGATTTTGCACTCTCCAGTTTAAGTAAATCAACTCCATAGTGTTTGTTAAAAAAAGGAGAAATAAACCTTGTTCGCCAATGTAAGTCCAACGTCAATGACATTGACAAGTAATGTACTTCCATCACTGAATGACAGCTGCCTGGCTGACTGTTGAATGTCAACAAACTGAATGGTGAAGCTGGCTAATGTCACTGAGTATCATGACTATATTTGGATAATGATGCCACCCAGGATACCTGCTGGCTTGTTTACAATTTGAAACAAGCCAACAGGTGACTGGAAGCTGTCATTTAATGGCGGTAGTAATACAATCACTAAATGAATTATTGCAATAGCCAAAAGTTCGGGCAGGCAGGAAAAATGGCAAAGTCTGCCCATTCAGTGGATTGCAAACAGCCTGGTCATGGTAGACTCATGGTTAACCTGAACCTCATTCTGAATCATAGCAAAATAATGATACTTGTTATTCTATAAAAAAAAATGATTAGCCAAAACTTGCATTAAGATTTCTAATAGATTTATGGTGCATTCATAAAGTATTCAGACCCCTTTACGGTTTTCAATTTTGTTATGTTGCAGCCTGATACTACAGTTGATTAAATTCTTTTTTTTCCTCATTAATCTAGACTCAATACCCTATAATAACAAAGTAAAAACAGAATTTTAGAAATGTTTGCAAATGTTTGCAAAAATGCTTTTGAAAACTCCAACCGAGCTTTCATGTGTTTTGCACTGAGGAGAGGCTTCCATCTAACCACTCTGCCATAAAGCCCAGATCGATGGAGGGCTGCAGCAATGGTTGTATTTCTGGAACTTTGTCTCAGCTCCACACAGGATCTCTGGAGATCAGTCAGAGTGACCATTGGGTTCTTGGCCAGATCTCTTACTAAGGCCCTGCTCCCCCGCTTGTACAGTTTGGCCAGGCAACAAGCAATTGGAAGAGTCCTGGCTGTGCCAAACATCTTCCATTTGAAAATTATGGAGGCCACTGTGCTCTCAGGATCCTTCAATGTAGCAAAATGTTTTCCCAGATCTGTGCCTTGCAATAATCCTGTCTATGGGTTGAACTGGATGGACTTTTGTCTTTTATCAGCCAGACTAACTATGTAACTATGAGCTCTGCTGACAATTCCTTTGACCTCACGGATTTTGCTCTGATACAGTATGCATTGTCAGCTGTGAGGGTTTTCATAGAGAGGTGTGTAACTTTCCAAATCATGCCGAATAAATTTGACTGCCAATGTGATATTTCAGTTTTCCTATTTCATACATTTGCAAACTTTTCTAAGATTCTGTTTTCACTTTGTTATTATGGGGTACTTAGTGTAGATTAATGAGAAAAAAAATATTATTATTAAGGATTCATATTTCGCCAACAGTTTGCTCAGAGCTTTAACATATAGAGGGAGACAATACAACAATGATAGAGTTGAATACAAGAGGGTTAGGAGGGCCCTGCTCCTGGCAACTTGAAATCTAATAGGGAGGGGCTGGTGGAACAAAAGGTTATAACTGTGGGGGATGAACTGATGGGAGAAAAAGAAGATTTGGTTATAAGCTGAAGGCAGGATAGATTTCCCTGAAGAGATTTTTTCAGGGATTGCCTAAAATTGGACAGAGTGGGTGATAATCAGACAGACTGGGGTAGAGAGTTCCAGAGGATGGGAGAGGCTCTACAGTAGTCCTGGAGATGAGAATGAGAGGAGACAAGGTAGCTAGAGAGCAGGAGGTCTTGGGAGGAGCAGAGAGGATGTTTGGGTGATATTTGGAGACAAGATTGGTGACGTAATTTGGGGCAGATTTGTAAATGGCTTTATATGTTATTGTTACTGTTTTGAATGGTATTCGTTGGGCAATGGGAAGCCAGTGGAGGGACTGGCAGAGAGGGGTGGCAGACATGGAACAGTTGGTAAGGTGGATGAGTTTGGCAGCAACATTCATTAAAGACTGAAGAGGGGATAGCCTGCGATTTGGTAGGTGGGTTAGCGGTACGCTTCCGGGTTCAGCAAATCAATGTGAGTGCTGAGGCTGGCACACCGCGCCTGGGGTCACCTCTCTCTTTCTCTGTGTTGTTGGTAGAATGGCGCTCTCGCGATAGACAGGCACCGCACATGGCAGTTGCATTGTTCTGCAGCTTCTTTCCTGTGACTCTTGGGATGGGAAAGGGTTAAGATGGGCTGCTAGTGGCCACGTGACAATGGAGTCCTCTGCAGTCTACAGATACAATCACATCACCTTACTGCTGCAGAAGGTTGTGGAAATTCAAAGAATATTTAAATGTCCTTTTTTCCAGGTAAAGGGGACTTTACTCCTATATTAAACATTTCTCTACTGCAACTCCCCTCCAATTAAAGTGTAACTCCCTTGTCTCCTCCTCCCATGCTCATCTCCAGGACTTCTCCAGAGCTTCACCCATCCTCTGGAACTCTCTACCCCAATTTATCAGACTATCGCCTACTCTGCTCACTTTTAGGCGATCTCTGAAAACCTCTCTCTTCAGGGAAGCCTATCCTGCCCTCAGCTAATAATGGAATCTTCTACTCTTCCAACCAGTCCATCCCCCCCAGTTACTACCTTTTGTACCACCATTAGCCCCTCCCTCTTAGATTGTAAGCTCCCAGGAGCAGGGCCCTCCTAACCCTTTTCTATTGTCTATCGTCATATTGTAAAGCGCTGAGCAAACTGTTGGCACTATATAAATCCTGTATAATAATAATAATAATAATGAGGAGGGAGTTGCAATAGTCAAGGTGAGAGATAACAAGGGAGTTTTCATGCAAACCTTTCTAAAATTCTGTTTTCACTTTGTCATTATGGGGTACTTGGTGTAGATTAATAAGAAAAAACAATGAATTTAAACAACTGTAGTACCAGGCTGCAACACAAAAATTTACCAAAAGTGAAGAAGGTCTGAATACTTTATGAATGCACTGTAATTGCCAGGTAACCAAAGATGTTACCATCTATCCTGTATCTTGATAAAAATGTGTTCATCGGAATCCCAGTTCCCAAATCTCAAAGATTACTCAATACTCCCATACCTTGTTGCACATTACTGAATCTTAAATCTTCAGTTTGAAAGTTATTACAAACTCATCTTTGTGTGAATATATAATGTTTAATATTTATGGTTTTTTTTGTATCTATGAATAGATAAATGAGTGCCAAGTAACCATAATTGCAGATTTGTATCTCACAATTGTGCACTTATGAGGGTGTAAGTCAAAACACGCCTGTGTTTATTAGGTAACCTGTAACCACCCACTCACACCTTATTGTTTAGGCTGGTGGGAGGTTGGTAGTAACTGCTTTGTACTCTGACAGGATATACTTGAGGTTTGAAATGTAACAGTTGTTCAAATTCTTGGGCCAATTGCTGACTGGAGTATGACTAGACATTCGTTCAAGCACCTGAATACTTCTATAATATTTCTGTATTTTTTTAATTCTTTAAAAGACTGTTTTGCTTGTGTGT